CCCCCACCCCCCGCTGATAAATGGCAGTGCTGCAAGGCATTTCTTTCCGGGTATTCTTTCCCTTTCTTTTTGCAGTCGACTGAATGAACTGTTTTCCCTCTGCCTGCGTTTGACCTTCCTGTACGCGAGGTTGTTGACTGTTTCAAACCCGTGGTAGGGAAGGGGGAGCTGGCAGGGGACGCTTGTGCGGGAAAGCAGGTACCTGGATGTGCACAGTACAGGAAACAGGTCGTGGGCCTGTCTGTGAATTGAAAAACTGCCAGTGCTCAGTAGTTTTTCCTCTGTGAATTAATAAAAGAAAAAAAAATCAAGCTCTCCTTTGGGTTTCGTTCTCTCTTTGCAGTAGAGGCACGTTGCGGAGGGTAACAAAACGGTGTTGGCGAGGGCAGGGATGCTGCAGGTTGTGGGGCCCTGGCGGGTCGGTGCTCAGAGCAAGCCCTTGCAGGAGCAGCTGCGTTAGGTGGGCTTTGTGGTTCTGGTGTTTACCTGCTTTCCACATCCTCATCTCGCTCTGTCTGCGTGCAGCGTGGGACACCACGGACTGCAGTCGAGCATCGTGTTCCCGGCTGAGGGGAGGGTGAATCTGCCCATGCTTGGGAGCTTGAACTTGTAAAGCTGCCTTCACCTTGGCTGTTCGGAGGCCGGGGCAGGACTTCTTGTGGTCCCCATCCGATCGTCTCTGTCGGCTGCCACCACGGCACTAATTTGACATGAGCTGTTTTCCTCTGCCCCTCTAGCTGACCTTTCTCTGCTGTTTCGTTGCAGGCCAAACCCATTTATGGTGGCTGGCTGCTGCTGGCCCCGGAAGGAACGGACTTTGACAACCCCGTCCATCGCTCTCGGGTAAGTGATGAAGCCTCTTTCCTGGTGCCGCAGGAGCTGGAGGGTGGGCAGGGGCTGGGAGACGAGCAGGAAGGGAAGGGCTGGCGGGAGGAGTGACGAAGGCCCGCGGCTCCCTGTCGGCCTGGCTTTCCCCTCCCTGCGGGGGTGGCTGCAGCCCGCGGGGTGTGACGCAGGCTGCCCCACGCCTCCGCTGAGCACCCATCCCGTTGTGCGACCCTGACTGCGGAGAGACGTTTCTGGCAGCAGCTCCGGGTGCACATCAGCAGGGCTCGACCTCCTTTCTCCTGGGCTCCTCTCCCGGCGCCTTGCTGGAGCTGTGCTGGGCAGCAGGCTGGGGAAAGCTGGTCAAACTCAGACCATGCAGCGTTATTTTTTGCTGCTGTTGCTTTTTGATGCCCCCACACCATTTCCATTGGATGGCCAAAAGCGTGCTGTGCTGATGGGAAGGGTCTTGGGCTGGTGGGATGTGAGCTATGCTGCTCTGATCCTTGCTGGGAACCTTAGCAAGGCATGAGATTTCTGCTTAGTGGTGCTCAAATGTGTCTGCTTTGCACTCTGCGGCTCAGCATCAACGTGGGCAGAGCCACGTGGGGAGGTCGCAAGTTGGCCAGCGCAATAGTGTCAGCCGGTGCAGGTGCCCCTGTTGTAGGCAGGTCCTGCAGCAAGGAAGGAGCTGAGAAGTTATTTCCTGTTTGCTGTAACCTTGCAGAGGCTCTAAAGCTGAGTGCGCTCACAGGAGAGACCTGCAGATGGAGAACGGCAAACTCTCAGCTTCTGCCTGACAGTTTTAACTAACAGCCCTCGCACCTTGTGATGAGGACTCCCAGCCTGTCCCCAAGCCGCTTCTCTGCGGAGCTTGCTGTGGCCACCGGGACACAGCTGTCTGGTGCCTGGGAGGGACACCGCTGACCCCTCTCTCTCGTAGCTGAGGGGCTCTCAGAGCTGCTAGTAATGAAAATTACTTCCCTCACTGATCAGCAACCGGGCTTTGGGTTCAGCCCGGGCAATCTGGGTTGTTGTTTGGAGTTGCAGCCCAGGTACTGAGAAGGGTAGTGACAAAGGGAAGAGGGCAAGGAGCCCAAACCTACCGCGCTGCCCAGTGGGTCCTCTTAGTCTGCAGAGGTGTCCTGCGGCAGTGTTTGCTTGCAGGAACACGTGGCTTGTGGCTCTGCCTCTGTCCCCAGCTGCTAACGCCTTCCTAGGGTAGGGACGTGAAGGCCGGGGATGTTGGACTGGCTGGTCCAATGCCCCGGGAACGTGAGGCTCTGGTTTCTCCCTGGAACGGAGGCTGCCTGCTAAGCTGGGACACGCAGAGATCCTCAGGGTCCTCTGCAGTTTTGCTTGTCCCTGGGCACCTTGGACTTTGCCTGAAGGACTGAGAAAAGTGAGATAAGAATTGCTGCACTGGGGCTATGAATCTAGGACCTTTTTTATTTCAGCCTGCTCAACCAGTTTTTGCTCTTGGCTGAAAAACAACCTGGCACACACAAAAAAAAAAAAGGCAGTTTTCCAGCCAGATCAGTTCTCCGATCTAGTTTGCTGTGCGGCTGCACAAACAGTAGTGCCAGCACAGCGCCGGGGGCTGGGGGAGGCTGGCGTCAGCAATGGGAGGCAGGATGGCTTGGGCAGTGCCGCTTCCGAGCGCGCAACCACCATCCGAATGAAGCTGAGGGCGTCTGGTATTGTACCCCATCTCCAGCACTGGGGCAAGGAAAGTCCTGATCCCAGCTTAACAGCTAGAGTCTGCCTTAGACTTCCTTTTTGGCTCTAGTCGTTTTTATTCCCCTGCTTGGCTAAACCAGGTCAGCTGGGGGTCTGTCTGAACGCAGAGAGGGAGGAGGTGGGGAAGCAACCCCGAAACAGCCTCTTTATGGGTGCCCCTGTACTAAAGCCAAGCCTCAAATCAGCAGTGAGAGGTTTGGACTAGCGTGAGCAAGCCTCTGGCAGAGCCCCGGCCGGATCGCTGGGCAGGGCCTTGCTTTGCAAAGCCCAGCTCTTTCTTCGTGCAGCGCCCCGAGCAGGAGGGTTTGGGACACGGGACTGAGCAGCACCTGGCATGCCTGATTCCTCGTGCCCACGCCCTATGATGGTGGGTGTCAGGCAGCGAGTGCTGCTCTCGGAGTACCCTGAGCAGTTGTTGGCAGTGCCAGGATTGCCAAAGCTTTTTGCTGGAAACTGGCACGACCTGGCAGAAATACTTTTGTGATATTCATCCTTTAGGAATGGTCCCCGCGGTGTTTGGGAGGCCCCCTCTGCTTTTTTGGCAGCTTCACATCCTCTGTCCTTTGCAACTGCCCTTCTGGTGGGACCTGGGTCTGTGTCACGTTGTCACTTGAGGTCCTCAAGCATGAAGGGGTTTCAGTGCCTTTTCTCCCCCTATCTCCTCTGGGCCTTGCCCTAACTTAGCCCATAGCAGCTCTGTTCCCCTCTGGCTAGGGCCGGAGAAGGGTGGGCGCTGCGGTAACCAGCCTCGTTGTCTTCTCTTCCAGAAATGGCAGCGCCGGTTCTTCATTCTCTACGAGCATGGCCTGCTGCGCTATGCCCTCGACGAGATGGTAAGTGGAGCCTGGCGGAGGCGCGGGGTTGTGGTCAGTGCCGTGGGGTTTGCTGGCGTGCTGAGGGGATGGGCTGCCCGTGCTGCCGACCAGGGGTGACCTCTCCCATCACGACCAGGAGATTCTTGGAGGAGCCCATTGTGGCGGTGGTCCCGCGACGCGGCATGGGGAAATCTCTGCTGGACTGGTGCAGGGTTTTTCTCTCTGGGTATGATTTAAACCAGACCAGGCTTGTGTAAGAGCTTGGTGGGTGTGTGGAGGATGGTTGGCCTTTTGGAGACGTGTGGGTCCTGCCAGGCGGGACGTGGCTTGCGTTTGTTGGTTGGGGTCTGGCCTCACAATGCTGAGACTTGCACCTCGGCATTGCTGGGTTTGGCCTGGCCGGTATCCGCGTTATCCCACTGAGGCTTTATAGCCAATCCCTGCGTTGCCAGTCCCTCAGGGAGAAATGCTGGTTTGGTTTTGGAGTTAAACAGGAGCAGGAGCGCATTGCCTACAGACTCAGCACTGGGGGAAGAGCATCACAGGGATTGTGTGGCTCAGCGTCCTGTCCCCAGGGTCCCCAACCCTCCTTTCCCTGCTGTTCCTTGGTGCCAGTTAGGATTTGGTAGCGGTGAGTGGTCTCGGTTGTTTCTGAGAAGTAGGCACTTCTGTAGCAGTGCTCACGAAAAGTAGGTCAGCTGGAACGCCTTCCCGGGATCTGGATTCCCGTTATCTGTGCTGCTCCGGGGAGCTTTCTTCTTTTATAAGAAAGGAGGGGAGGTGGGAGGAGAAAGGAGGGAAAACTCTCCCGGCTGCCACAAGCTGTGGAGTGGGGCTGTCGAGCCCAGCATGGTCAGCCCCATGGTGACTGCCTGCGGGGGCTGCAGGCTTGTCCTCCCGAGCAGAGCAAGCCCCCGGCAGGGTCTATGGGCAAGCCTCGGGTTGGGTTTAGCGTCTTGCTGAGGCAGATGCGTGTGTGCGCCCATGTGCTGGGATACGCCTGGGTGGGGAGGCTTGCAAGGACGGGCACGCCAGGGTGCAGGGCAGCATGTGCGCACACGTGTGCATGCATGGCCTAGGGACACGCGTGTTACAGAGGGGAGGCTCCCTGGGGAAGGTGGCATGCACTCTGATCCCTGTTTGCCCATGGTGGGGCTGGGGAGGGGATCTGCTCAGGGTCTCCCCTGCCTGGGAGGTGAACAGGCTCCTTGCCGAGAGGGGTAGCCCCAGGTCGGACTTTAACCCCAGCTGAGCTCCGCATGCAGCCCAGGAACCGGACCTGTGCCCTCGTGTTGGAGGGGGAGCGGAGCCCTGCATTGGTGCCACGGTCCGATTCCCCCTGTTCCTCCGCTCTGCCAGTGGCATCTCCGCTCCCTGCTGCGGGTCCAGCACCCCTTCATCTCCTGCAAGGGCGTGCTGAAGTAGGGAGAGGAGGACGGTGTCGATGAATCTGCGCTTGTGCATGGAAGCAGAGCGAATGTTTCTCAAGTTTCGTTCCTTTTTGTTTGTTTGTATTCTTTCTTGGGGTTGATCCAAGTCCCCTAAATAATTTAAACATCTCGGATGGGAGCTGTGAAGACTTTCAATATGTTTTTAGTATCTCTGCAACCCGGCTCCTTGCTGGGGTGATGTTTCATGTGCTGCAATGGGGGTGTGCTGCTGGCTAGCATAGGGAAGTGCCCTGATGCAAGGAAGGTGGCGGAGGAGAGGCCAGCGGGTGCTGGTAAACCTGTTTCATAGCTTTGCACCTTGGGCAGGGTGACCTCTGCTAGCCGCTGTGTGTCTGGGCAGGAGCAGGTCGCGAGTGCCCGGCCCTGGTCCCCGGCCCCCCGTGCCACGGGGGAACGCTGCTGGAGAGCGGGCAGAGCGGTCAAACTGCAGTTCTCCAGGCACCTCCTGGGCTGGCAGGGATTTAAAGGGAAAAGGTGGGAAAACAAACAAAAAGAGAGTGAGAGAAGAGCATGTGAATGCGTGGACCGTAGGTCGGTGTCCAGGGGAGCACGAGATACCGTCGTGCTGGCAGCTTTCCACGCTGGAGTCCCTTGCCGGCTGATTTTTGCACACTTGCAGCTTCCCCGCGCGCCTGCAAGGACGTGCTTTGACCTAGCAGAGAGGAGGCCCAGGACTGGCCCTTTGTCTTCAGTTTTGGCTCAGCTCGTTTGGGCGAGGTCCCCAAAACAAGCTGTTGTCAGCAGGCAGAAGCCAGGAGGCAACATGACCCTCTTCACCTGGCAGAGAAGAAGTGGGAAGCCTCCAGGTTTGGGGAGACTCCTCAGCCTTTTTAGTGGTTGTGACGCTGGAGTGAGAGCCAAGCGCGGCCTGAGCTGGGTTCGCTGCTGAACGGCCCCCTTCCAGCCCTGCTCAGATGCTGCGGCATCCCTTCAGGTCCCGCTCTGCCTCCAGGTTTAGCCTTTTAGAGTGGCAACCAGTAACGTGCCTTTCCAGAACAGAAAGCTTATCCGGGTCCGTGCTAGAGACGGCGTCCGGGGGAGAGACGCGCGCCGTCGGCCGGAGCGGGTTTGGCGCGGCCAGCGAGTGG